CATATTTTGTTAAAAGGCCAAATAAGGACTTCAAACCAAAAAAAAAAAGAAATTTTTTGTTTTGTTTTTTTCTTTGATCAGGCTTTAAAGGGTTAATGTATGCTGACATCTGACCTTTAAAAACAATCAACCAAATCAAACACATTTTTCCAAAATTTGTATAAATTTTTCTCCACCTGGCATTTAGCATGTAAAAATAATTTAGAAAATCCTTACTAACCGAAAACAGAAAAATTGAATATGTAAATTCTTTTATAAATGTATCTGTTTTAGAGAGTACATATAGTTCTAGTTTAAGCTGTATAATCCTCTGACCTTGTTCTGGACTCCAGCTGTTTGACCGTGACCATGTGTTTGATGGTGCTCAGGCGTTTTCCCTCGGAGCAAAGCTGGGACAATCGGCACAAACTCTGGAGGTCCCTCGTTGTCTGTCAGCTCTCTGTCGGACACAGGCGCCCCATTTGGGCCCACGTAGATAACAGTGTCACAAGACTGCTCGCTGCTCGAGTACTCGTCAGGGTCACTGGATAGTCTTAGCAGCGGCAGTTCAGAGTCAGTGTCACCACGGTGATGGAAAGGTCGTAGGTGGGTCGGACGACGCATGCGACCCTCCTCACAGGAGCTTTCTCCTCCAGAGGAGCTTGATGTATATTGCTGCAAAAAGATGGTGATAAAGAGAGTTAAAATCTTTTACATTTGTTTTTCATTGTCCTCTTCACTGAACTTGCAAGAGCCCTAAATCTTAATAAAGAAAAAGGCTTCCGAAGCAGCTTCAGACCCGTATCTTGTTGCAAACTAACTTTAAAAACTACAATTGCTGTGTACCTTACATTTTCTAGATTTCAAACTGTGGCACAACCTGTGGCACCACTAACCTGACACTAACCATTACTCTCACCTAGAAAAAGCCAAAGTTCTTGTATCAAATCTTATTGAAAAAAAAAGACAAGAGGGCAACCATCCATATCATTTCCTTTCTAAGTTATATAGTTTAAAAAACAAACATTTGCGATAGTGAGCACGTCTGTCCATAAAAGAAACAGTAAACTGGTCAAACTAAGCAGCTTTTATTAGCTTATGAGGCTCAAAGTCAGCTGGGTTTTCTCGTTCCCACTATAACCTTCTCATCAATATTTCTTAACGACAAACATGTTTAATAAATTTTTTATCCATAAAAAACTAACAAATTTAACATTACTTTAGCAGTGGTAGTTTGATTAATATAATTCTGCTTTTAAGTGAAATGTTATCTTTTTTCATGATATATTCTTTTTATATACTCATATCTGACATGTCCTCAATGGGAGTGAAGTGTAAAAAAATTAGTTCTTTGTGTTTATACAACCTGGCAAATAAAACAGCATATGTGATATAATCCTCTAACAGAAAAAGCAGTATTAACATTTTTGCATATGATAGCAGTAATAATAACATGGAGATTTGATTGTGAATTACAAAACATATGATACTAAAAAAGTTAAACTGTTTAGCTCATTTTAGAATATATGCACATACAGTAAATAGATTAATCATTAAATTAAGCCTCCTAAAAAGATTCAAGATCAGGTCCATCTACTGGAAACATCTCACATCTGAAATCTTGTTTTCAGTGGTTTTTGGTCTTTAGATATTAACATTTCGTTCTCTGCTTAACAGTTACTAAAAGAGCAGTTGTACATAAATAAACAATGTATTAGATGACATCCATTTTAACATAACATAAACATTATGTTTTTAAAAGACTTCTTTAGAAACATAGCTGCCCTGCAGGAATGTCTGAGCGTAAAACATGCAATCTGCATTACAGTAGCTAAGGGTATAATTCAGAGCAGATTTTTGACTGACAAGTTTACTGAATTTTAGTTGAACAAGGTGATATAGTGCTACAAGTACTTTTCAAAATAAAATTATGGTTGAAAAATAGCGAGACATTAATAGTCCATGTTCAAGTCTCAGTTTTTTCCTTCTCAGAAGAAAAATCTCTATATTTTAAGAAGCAAACTTACCACAGTTACTTTAGTTTTCTTCTTTTTCATGCGGAGGACGCGTGAGGCAATCTGGATGGTGGAGAGGGTTTCTGAGAAATCTCTGGGTGAGGCGGAGATGTGAGCAATCATGGTGGTCCTGCAGTTCATGTTGCCTAGCGACTCCCTTAGCAACATGGTCAGCTTGCTGTCCCTGGTTACATGTATAGATGAGATGTGAGCAGTGAAGACAGGTTTGAAATTCATATATGTGTACGACATAATGAATGAAGCAGGGGTCGTTGTTCTTCTGACATTAACAGCAAATTCAAACTGAACTACATACACACAGTACCTTGTAAAAGTATTCAGACCTCTTCAACTTTTTCACAGGTTGCTTTATACCCACACATGTCCATGTATTTTTTATTTGGATTTTAAATGACAGATCAAAGCAATTCTATAGAGTCATTGGATTAGTGGAAAGATGTGTTGCCTGGAAATTAAAAGTTTGTCAGTTTGATTTCCTCTTCTCTTACTACATGTTAATTAGGTCTCATGCAATTCCCAAACCTCAAGGTGTCAATTTATCTGGTGTTGGTGAGTGAGCATTATAGGTGCAGTCTTGAAAATGTGACGTTAATATAAAAGCTTGCTGAGTCGTCTGTATTGATTGAT